ATATCTCAAAAACGGTGGCTCATAGGAAAAAAAGTAGCGATACATTTTTTGTAGATAATTTTATGATCTATAATTTTTGTCTGAAGTATTTTTATGATAAAACTCACCGTTTTGCTGAAAATCGCGAAAAACTAATGCTTTTGACCTTTGTCCTTTAATACTTTTTTTCCATACAGGGGAAACATGAGGAACTTTCAAATTTCAATTTAAATCATATTTTAAACGGTCTTACTGATTTTCAGCTTGGTGGGAATAGGTAGCTTCACTTTTTTTTGTCTAATTTGACCGGACTAACAGGTGGCGTCCTCGTACGGAAAGATGATTTGTTACTTCTGTGTGTCTATTGATGATTTTTTTAGTTCCTGAGTTGGGTTGCAAAACGACAACATTTCTCATGAAGATAAGTTGATGGAGGAAACAACATTCACCCTCCTGTAGATTATCTACTAATTTCTCTATTTTCGGATTGTGGAGGATCAAAATATCCAATGATAAATGAAAATATGTCGAATGAAGAACACAGTTTTGGAAAATAATATCCATAATCCAGGACCAGTGTGACGCAAATTTCATGCTTTTCAAATGGAAGTTCCATTCAGCTTTTAAGCAGTAGGTGTATTAATAAATGATAATGTATTATCGTTATCAACCATATGCCGCTAAATGCTTTAATTATCTTCATGCCAATATAAAATAGACAACAAAGTTGACAATTGATTTATGAAACGTTTTGTCTGAAAACAAAGATTAAAGATGAAACTGCAACCTCTGGCGAAGCATGAATTCAAAACAACTAATCACCAAGACATCCATTCTTGGATTCCTCAGTTATTAGAAGTAACTAGGGTCTAGAATGTTATGTCTACCAGTAGGAGAGGGTTGGATAAGTTGACGACGTTAATAGAAAAAAAAATTCCCGTCCGAATAATTAAATAAAAAACAAACACAGTCGTACATTAACGAATACCAACTGGAGGCTAGCCTCCTCTAACGCTGTAATATCTGCAACTGAAATTATAAATCGGGACGTATATCTCTGCTTGGATCGGCCTCGTGGAGCCTATGTATTTCAAAGCGGTCGGAGGCTTGGCTCCCTTGCAACGTATCGCATTTATTATTTCGGGTTGATGGTTTACTCGTTACTCGTTCATGGGCGGTGCGTTTGAGTTTTGTTGATGCAGGATACGGTGTGGTACGTACTACGTAGTGAGTGATAGTGTTTTTTCGGGCATATTATGTATTTATATTAAAAATTATTGGTAAAGTAATGACTAAAAAACATGGAAAGAAACATCCAGAAGCAGTGAAAGCTATTGAAAAATATCATTACATGGATGATTACTTAGACAGTTTTGAAAACGAAGCAGAAGCCATTGAAATTGTTCACGAAGTCATAAACATCCATAATCAAGGCAAATTCAGAATGATAAACTGGGTCAGCAATTCTAGTCATGTCCTGACAAATATACCTGCTGAAACACTATCCAAAAGTAGTACCGATACTGAAAAGTTACCCACGTCTGAAAGAACTTTAGGTTTAATATGGGATACAAAAGATGATCTTCTCAGTTTTCCTGATACATTTTTGAAAAAACATGAAAAAATAATTGTAACAGACAATATTCCCACGAAGAGAGAACTATTGAAAGTGGTAATGTCAGTTTATGATCCACTTGGCCTGTTAGCAGCTTTCACTATACAAGCTAGAATTTTGATGCAGGAAGTATGGTCACATAAAATTGCTTGGGATGATAAAATCACTCCTGATCTATTTAGAAAATGGAAATCTTGGCTATCTGCAGTGTATAAAATAAAAAATTTGAGAATTCCTCGATGGTATGGATTCAGCAGTCAAATTGTTGAAATTCAACTACATACTTTCACGGATGGCAGTGAAAAAGGATATGCTGCAGTGAATGAAAGACTCCAGTGATCAGATTAAAACGTCTTTGGTAATGGTTAGGTCAAGAATCACTTCCTTATTGGAAAGTCCAATGAAGTGAATCCACCAGGTATTTCTGCTGATACGAATTCACATCTTAGAAAACAATGGCGAGTGGCACAAAGATATGCGGACCTTTTTTGAAAACGGTGGATACGAGAATATGTACCCAAACTCATGGCCAAGAGGAAAAGTTACGCGAATTTTTCCTGGTCCCGATGGCAGAGTACGGGTGGTCGAAGTGACTACAGCAACAGGAGTTTATCGTCGTCCTATCACAAAAATCATTTTGTTGAAGCCAAAGCAGTAATTTGCGAGCCCCGGAGGATGTTGTGAATTAATTTCACATCTAGTATTGAAGTTGAGATTATTTATTGTTTTATATAGTTACCATTATTGTTGTCAGTTTTGTTTTTGATTAAAAAGCAGAAAAGTCAAATAGAATCTTATTTTGCCGAAAATAAGTAGTTTGCCCAAACAACACCTACTACTTATTTAATAGATTCGTTGACACCCGGTAAAAGAATTTTCAATTAAATATATTTGTATTATTAAAATGCGTTAATTGAGTCCCAGAAAAAATACAGCAGTCGATATTCACAACCATCAAATACTTGAATTTTACTCACCGGCCCTTTGAAAAAATGTCCATTTTCCTGGGCAAGCAGTTGAGCTACCAAAGGCCCCCCGCTGATCCTCACCACTAATTCGGCTTCGGAATAACCACGAGAACAAGTCGAAGTCAAAGCAAAAACAACGAAAAAAACTCTCATCGCTAGTTCGCCCTTGGAAAAAATATACCACTAGATTTCAGCGAGCTTTTACTTCTGGAACCTCTCGAGATGAAACGGAACACCAGGTTTAGACAAATATTCAGTGGCATGTGACTGGTGATAGAGATACCGTGTCTCCCTACCCCGGTGGAAAAAGTTGATTGAAAGGAAAACAATTAATTCTGTTTGCGTACACTGCAAGTCGGCGAGGATAAAGGGATTTGAGGGCTTCGAGTCCAGAGATACTGCGATTGACACTTTTGCTTCGATTTGCGTTAATAGTAATTTATATCCCTCTGGAACGCGAATTAAATCCTTGATCTCTGATTGTAGTAGGCGCTGAGAGTTTATTCGGTCCAAATCCCGACTAGTTTTTATTTGTCAAATACGGGGTTGTCTTTTAGTTGCGTCAAATGTTTGCTAACAAACATTTGGGACTACTTATATTTTTTGAGACGAAACCCAAGCGAAAGTGGCGATTTGCATTGGATTTGAACCGCTGGAGAATAAATGTATTTGTAAAACCGTTCTCAGGAAGTTTATTTCACATAAACGCACTTCTCCAACTGAAAGAGTTCTTCAATAGTGAAGTTCGAGGTGTACTGAGTTGAATCTCAACACGATGAGCAGCCACAGTCCGTCGCGTATATCTCATATGTACCGCTCTTGGTGGAATCAAATGTACCAAGTCTCCAACCTTTCTTCGATGTTCCAGACTATCAGATGCTTCATTTTTGTAAAAAAAAAATTGGTTGAATAGAGTCTACGGCTGTTATTTCGATGTTTCTGCTTTGACTATAACTCTGCCTCCTCTTCAGGTTTCCACTAATCTGACATGAAACCTATCACTTGTGTGCCGCAGGGTTCAGTGCTGGGCCCGCTACTATTCATAATTTATGTCAACGATACTTTTGCTTACATGTCCCCCTTTGACTGTATTGCATTTGCTGATGATACAACTCTTGCTACCTCAGGTAAGGATGTGAATACAATATCAAATGAAATAAATATAGCTCAAAAAAAAGCAGAAATATTGTTTACAAGAAATAACTTGATGCTAAACAAACAGTGTTAAATTGCTGGGAATTATAATTGATGACTCACAGATCACATAGAGCAGCTATGTGCCAAATTCTCAAAATACATATTTCTACTCCGGAAACTAAAAAATATAATTAATCTACATGCTCTGTTATCTACCTATTATGCTTTTTTCCACTCCAATATTTCATATGGGACGATTCTATGGGGGTAAGCACAAAGGCTGATGAGTTTTTCTCCTTAAAAAAAAAGCAATTAGAATAATAGTTGGTGCCAGTTACACCGACACCTGTAGACCACTCTTTGCATCTCTTAAAATCATGACGCAACACTTGTTTGCCGAATGCAGGAAACAAATCAAACGCACGGAGTCAACAACAGGAACCAACCGCACATTTGTGGTTCCAGTTAGAAGACCTAGAATTCCCAGGCTACATCTAACACGACCACATAGGCAGCTATAGCTACCTGCATGACTTCCGGGTCCAGGATATGAATACAAATAGAGATTTTATCGAGTGTGCGTTTGTGTTGTTTCCTGCTTTCGGCAAACAAGTGTTGCCCATCTTCACACTTGGCTGCACCGCGCTGATGAGGCCAATAGCCAGAAACACGTGTCCGCGGTTTGCCCCCCTGTTTGGAGTGTTGTATCCACGAATTTTTCATTTTTGATTTATATCATGCACGCTCGATAAAATCTCTATTTGTATATATATACATACNTAAATTCCCTTTTCAACTAGATCACTTACTTTCAGGTGAGCACTGATGATGACGAAAGTCGAAAGCGCTTTGCAAGAATTTTAAAAATTATACACTTCAATACAAAAAACCTCTTCGATTCATTAATAATATAAAATAACATAACATGACATGACATTGCGTGACATGACATTTGTGATGCACTGTTTGGAACCTCTGGTGTAGTAATATTCATGACAAGACATGACATGACATGACAACACATGCCATGAAATGACATGACATGACATTTGTGATGCACTGTTTGGAACCTCTGGTGTAGTAATATTCATGACAAGACATAACATGACATGAAATGACATGACATGACATTACATGATATGACATTTGCGATGCACTGTTTGGAACCTCTGGTGTGGTAATATTCATGACAAGACATGACATGAAATGACATGACATGACATGACATGACATAACAACACATAACATGCCATAACATAACAATNTATTCATGACAAGACATGACATGAAATGACATGACATGACATGACATGACATGACATAACAACACATAACATGCCATAACATATTACACGAATACAATATCAAATACACGTTTTTATTTCAGAATAATTTATTGAAAACTAATTGGTATTGTGTTTTCGCTGGTGTTTTTTGGATAAATTTATGATAATAATTTTTTTTTGGCAATACATTATTCTGGTGGTGTTCGCCGAATTTTAGGTCTTGATTCAAAAGCGCACTTGCAAATCACATCCTTGCAAACACTGCATCGTCTTTCTGAAAACAAAAATGTCAAAATCAAATATGAATTCTTTTGGTTTGAATGATTTCGTACCACACATATAATGATCTAGAACTTTTGGTCCACCAATTTCATGATTGTTGTATAAATTCTGAAAGTAAATAAAACAATTCAAAAAGAAAGCTCCAACAGCAATTCAAAATGTATTATCTTTGAAGTCACCTTGAAAAAGTTGATTTTTCTATAAGTTGTTTCGTCATCTATGCCATCTGTTTCTTCTTCAATGTCTTTACGAATCACGTCGTAACAACCACAGTAGTATCTGCTTTTTCCAGGAACACAATACCTACACCTTAAAATGGAACAGGCATTTGAAAAAATCCTCACAGAATCAAACCTTTTATTAAGAACTACTTTTTGTTAAATATTTTGTTATATTCTGCTTCATCTCAAACTTAACAAATAATTGAAAAACTGGTTAAAAAGAGAATGCTTAACTTCTTAAGTAATCATAACAAACTATGCGAATCTCAATATGCATTCCAAAGCCATAAAAACACAGGCGATGTAATATTCTCTTTTCTGGAAGATGTATATATTGGTTTAAATAATAAAGAATCTATTGGGGCAGTATTCTGTGATTTCTCAAAAGCGTTCGACAATGAGCGTAAAACAAATTTATGCAAAAAATAGCATCTGGCTGCTATGCAGTTGTTTCTAAAGAACCTAATCAATCCTCAGCCACAACTCTATATATTAATCCTTGGTGGAGTCGCACTTGAGATATGAAGGGGAAGAAATTGATGAATAAATATTTTTTGGGAAAAATTAAATTCATCTTATTTTTTGAACGTGCAGCGTATATCATCAACACTTAATCTTGTTATTCTTGAGATATCAATTATCAAACTCAGTACCTGCAATTTTTATTGCCGTCCTGCAGCCTGCGACAAATTTCCAAGTAGCACAATGGGGTTTGGAACTTGACGAACTGTTGGATTGGTTTCACAGATTTTCTTTCCTCAACCACATGTAGTGGAATTTTTCCAGCTTTCTCATGGTTGCTGTTTTTCGTTTCGTCATTAGTCTGAACCTATGAAAGTGCATTTGGTCTGAGAAAAGTAAGTTCTTTTAAAAATTTCTATTGAAAATTAAACCGAAATATATAAGTTTACTAAACTGAATGTTTCTACTAGCTAGCCTAATATACCTGTGGAGATGACTGTAGCTGCTCGTCGTATTTCTTCGGAGATTCTTCTATCACAGTTTTTTTCGTTATAGGAAAGTTTTCTCTCTCCTTAAGGCTATTTAAGCTAAAACAACTACTGCACCGGAGATTCTCCACCTTAATTCCTCTAACACACTCCTCAACGCTGCGAGGTCTATTTGTACCACAGATAATCTTTCTATCTCCTTTGAACCATGCCACGGGAGTCTGACACAAGATATCGCCTGTAACATTGATTTCTTTTTCTGGATGGGGTTCTTCCTCTCTTTGGATGTTCTGACTAATACTATGGGTGTCCATTTCTGGTTGAAACTTGAAGCTAGCATCATTTCTTGCAGTCATTGGCGTTTTGCTGGTTTCAAAAACCGAATTGTCTTTGCAGCAGCTAGAGGAGCCAGATTTACATCTTGGGGAAGCCATCACCTAGAACAGCACAAAAAAGTGATCCCTTGCTGAGTCCTTTCTTTGTATTGGAAGGAGTGTTAATATGGATCTAAAACGCTTCACACACATTATTCTTTTTACTGTTGGGGGCCAATAATATAACGTAGATTTTTTTTAAGTTGGCGGCTAGATTATAATGTCATTGTCGTGTAGCATTTGAAGTGGAATTTGTGATCACATTACAATGGAGTATCATGGGGTCAATAATATATTTTAGTTTTGCTGACAAATTGATGGAAGTTGCTGATGTAAATTGCAGAAAGGAGTGGTCCAAGGACTGAACCTTGCAGTGCAGCAAAGGTTTTTGTAATTGTAGTTGTTATACTTTCCTCACCTTCAGAAGTATATTCTCTAACATCTTGGAGATTTCATCTGCACTTTCTAAGTATGCTTTATCGTATGCACAACAATCAACAGCGTTTTGTTTATCGTTCAAAAAATATAAAGCCCTATTCAAAATCGTTTCTAATATATCTTTTATTTCGCCTTGGGAAGGAGATGCAGATACTTGAGCTTGAGTTCTGTGCGACGAAGTCTGCTCATTGTCGTCTGTACTAAGATCTGGAATAAAATAAAAATATTAGTTTGAAGGTGGTTCACAATGTTTCATAGCGAATTTCGTTACTTCGGAATTCCATTTTCTAATATGATATAATATGTTTTGAAATATCTGAAAGAACAAATTGAAAACTCAAACAGAATGAAAACAAAATGAAAACTATAAAAATTACAATAAAATAAAAAGTAGGCAGAAAAATAAAAATTGAACAATTGAAATGAAATAATTTTTTTATTTCTGCCATTAAGCCCAGTGATGGAATATTTGAAGAGAAAGCAATCGACGCCTATGAGTAAAAACCGGCCTTGTGGCTACCTTAAGTGGATGACACTTCGTCACCTGAAAACACGGAAAGGACGCTCTAAACCTCTTCCTAGACCACTTGAGCGCTCCACATCCCAGCGTCAACTTCACCATGGAAACTGAATAGGACCAGCGGATAGCATTCCTAGATGTATGCATTGGGCTTGTACTTTTTGCAGCAAAGCCATCAAAGGCCACGTCAATCGCAACCAGGCTTTGGAGAAGATCTTGCCTCACATCAAGGGTAATGTAGGCTTTGTCTTCACCCGGTCGGACCTTGTAGAGATCCGTGACAAGCTTCTCGAGAACGAAGTCATGGCCCCAGCTCGTGATAGTATCATCGCACTCTGCCTGTTGTTATTCCACCACAGAACATCGGATTGGGTCCCGAAAAGACATCTTCCTTGCAAGCTTTGGATATTCCAACCACGACAAAGCTGGGTGCAAAGTTGGTGCTTCAGAAGCCACACTTCTGAACATCTCTCCATTCTCTTATGGTCTTCAAGTGGAACAGGTTTACCATGCTGGCACCATCTTTGCCCCAGCAATTCTGGACATCAAACCCGAGGATCTGAAAGAGAAGTTCCTCGCTGGTGTTGCTAACTTAGCTGCCGTCTGTTTGAGCATCGGGTATCCTACAACAGCTTCTGCTCCTCACAGCATTGCTAACAGATTCAAAAATCTGTTGGCTATTGCCGTTGCCAAAATTTCTAAAGTTACCATTGAAATCATCAACAATGTTCACATTTTGAAACCTGGCGACAAAGTTGGTGCTACAGAAGCCACACTTCTGAATATGTTGAACATCTCTCCATTCTCTTATGGTCTTCAAGTGGAACAGGTTTACGATTCTGGCACTATCTTTGCCGCAGCAATTCTGGACATCAAACGCGAGGATCTGAGAGAGAAGTTCCTCGCTGGTGTTGCTAACTTAGCTGCCGTCTGTTGGAGCATCGGGTATCCTACAACAGCTTCTGCTCCTCACAGCATTGCTAACGGATTCAAAAATCTGTTGGCTATTGCTGCTGTTACTGACGTGGAATTCAAGCAAGATGCTACCATCAAGGAAGAGAAGAAAGAGGAACCCGAAAGCGAGGATGATGAAATGGACTTCGGTTTTTTCGACTAGATTCGTCCTGGGGTTCTTACGAATTGACTTGTTCATTTGCTATTTGTTGAGTCGGGTTGTCAATTAAATGATGATGGAATGATGTGTTGGTAGACTAACCCAGAACTAACCAAAAATCCACGCACCTGAAGGAAGAACTGGAGCATCTTCAAGTGACCTTGAGATCGAATGGATACTGTGTGCCCGAGATCAACGAAGCCATGAAACTGAAGGTTTCACGGCTTCGTTGATGGCGGGAAGAAGGATCAGATGGTTGAACGCGCGTAACTACCATATCTCCCTAGGGTCACAGATGGAATTTAAAAAGTCTTGAGGAAACAACATTGAAACGGTTTTCAAACCCACCAAGAATATACAAGAAAGCCTCAGCTCGGCTAAAGACAAAGGAGAATCACTATCAGCAGCAGGGGTTTATGACATACAGTGCACTTGTGGAAAGGTATACATCGGAACCACCAAAAGATCCATGGGATCCATGGAATCTTTTGGTGGTCTAGTGGTGTCCTAGTCTGCAGACTAGGCCAAACGGAGAAGTCGGAACAGTTTAGAGGATGATATTGGTGATAATTTTCCAAAGTTAATAACCCACCTGAATTCAGCAACTCAACAGAGGGTAGTCTTTTATCCAATTCCACCTCACTATTTTCCAGGCAACTACTTATTGGTACGCTACTCCCTTCCACTACAGACACTTTCATTTCTTTGGATTCTTCCTCATTCCGCGGTGTTTGGAATAATGAAGGATATATCGTTTTACACTGGTCCAAAACGATGTTGACACTTTTTGCTTGGCTCAAGATATTCATTTGTAAAGCATTCGTCAGTTCTGAGGTGACGGCTAAAATTTGCGAGAAATGAAGATTTTTACGTCTCTATGAGCCAATATAGTTCCTTACCTAGCAAATTCTTATACTCTTCTTGAAGTTGACTGAACTTCTGTCTCAGCGATTGCTGTTGAAGCTCGGCAGAATTTCCAGCATGCCTTTGTTTTTCTTTGGATGGCTGGGTTTCTTCATGCTATTGAATGAAAAAAAGTAGATATGAACGCTTTGCTAAACTCTGATTGAATCTTATCTCAATGCTAGTTTCCTTCTTTGAGTTGAACTGTATACCCTTCGGAAACCAGAGCCCAAGCAGAACGCGTTTATGATTCAACCCACCGTAGGTCTCATAAGTGATGCTAGGCTGAACCACAAATGTTTTGGGTGGACTCAACTGTCCTTAAAGGATACGCCTGAGTGATGGCATCTGTCTATACGGACTGATGGAATGTCCGTGTCATACATTTGTGCTCTCCGGAAACAGGACCGTATAATTTCTATTATATAATGGCATCTCCAACTCATCCTCAAAATTTTCCTACTCAGCTTCTTCATTCAACACTTCAAAAGCATGTTGCCAATTGTTTTATGCTGGGCTTGTACAGTTCACAAAATGCAGGGTAGTACGGTTGACCACGCTGTTGTATATTTGGGTTCAAAGTTGTTCGCTGTCGGCCAAGCGTACGTGGCTTTAAGTAGAGTCATATCAATAGAAGGCCTCCTGATAGAAGAATGACTGTTCGAAATTAACTGGGACTCGGCCACGTAATAATGACGCCATCAATGAAATGAATATTTTAAGAAATATAACAAGCTAATTCTTCTATAAGGTATGCCGGAGGAGTAGGTACCTACCTACCTACTTCTATAGAATATAGTTTATCCTAATAATAGTTTTCCCCGTTCCTTAAGTTTTTCTGTTGAAGGACTCTGCGTTTTATAGATGGACTTTCGTATTGCTCGTATATTTTTTATTGAAGCCAACCCTGGATGTGGCATATATTTCATGGTGGGCCTACCAACTGCCTGTCATAAACGAATGCGTATACAAAATTTCGTGTCCCTGCTATTTACGGCTGAGGAGATCTTTCGTACGGAGCCGATCCTGGCAGCAGCATCAGGTCACGTTTATGATTAANCTTCTATGACTTGAATGAATTCGCAACTTATCTCGAAGAGTTAAAGAGCTGGTTATTCTCTTATACAAACCGTTTTTAATTTGATTTCATGTTCATTGCTTTTTTTCTATTTGAAACATACTCTCTGTGTTTCAATATTCAAATGCACCCGAATCTTATTCACTGGTATCTCTTTTTCGCATTGTTCACCAGCGGTATTGGAATCACTACACAGGAAAAAGTCTGCGTTGTTATCACACTTGTTATTACTATTAGTACTTGTCCAAGGATGCCACATTTTAAACAAATAACAAAAAACACTCAAATCACGACCAATTCCTGAACTGAACATTGACGACACTTCAAATTTAATTTTATGGCTCTTCAGCCAATCATAAAACTCGGTTAGTAAAAATTATCCAATGTGAACCGCCAGTTATTCAGTCCACGTGGACTAATTCGTAGCGGCATTATTTCTTTGTATTGGTTTTTTTGGCCTTCGAGTTCGCCGATAGCTTTAAGAATTACTATATCAGTTACTTCGACTATACCGATATATATTTTACACAACTGTATTAAGAACTGCAAAGAGAATAAATCGTGATAAACAGAAAATGACGAGTATTAAAATAAGCATATTTATTTTTGCTGGAGTCAGTTAATGGGTGGAAATCCTTGTTTCATCCCAGGGTACCCCAATGAAACCTAGTTAGTATCGATAAAACAATTGAATCTCCCCAGGTGCGTGTTTCATAGGCATCATAGTCTAAAAGGCCATGAAGAAATGATTCAATATGAACGGGCTATAGCCTGGCTCTGAAAAATGTAGAAATTCTAAAAAAAAGTGCATGGAAAATAAAAAATATAATCTAAAATTCCAACAACGGAAAACATTGATTAAAAGGAAATCTACAGGAATTGAAATTAATATGATCAGAGGTGATAAAAAACGTACTTTCTCCAAAAACGTCTCCAAGATAATTCGCTTATCGATGAATTGTTTTGACCGTTTACAATCGTCAATAGTGCCGGCGTGTTCATCGGTTCTAAAAAACACTTTTCCAGAAATGTTGGGTAGCCGAATTCCGAACTTCTCGCAGTCATTTTTGAAAGCTTCGGAAGTCTTGAAGAAATTCTGATTTTTCAAAAACTGAAAAAAAATCTGTTCCGTTATATTTTCTAGACCATTTTCGAAAATATTGATAATCATTTTGAGAATCAGTAACTCCTGGTATGATATAAGTGGGAAATTGAATATTTTCTTACCAAAAAAATAGTTCCCAGTACAGTATTCAGATCGTGCTTTCTAGAAAAAAAAAAACAAGAATTAGAAAAATTCCGGATATAAATTAGATAGTCAAAACCTTTTCAGATGCCGAAGAAAATCTTTTGCTGTGAAATTATTGTTTACAAAATTTTATCCGACTCTTATCTTGCCCCGTTCGAATTTTAAGAGGGTCTGCACTGTATATAAGTTATAACATACTTTCAATACTCACATGAAAAACTGTTTTACAAATTGAAGTATCTCAAACTCTGTTGAGAATAATTTAAAATTGAACTATATCATCACTCAGAGTTTTGAAAAGTTGAACACACAAACACTGTCACACTCAATCATCCTAATGGGGCTAGCACTTCATCATCAAATCAAAGTATCATTTAATTTTTGGCGTGATATCCGCAAACCATTCTAACCTTTGTGAATGACCTCCCGCTATGTTGTGCACCTACTTACGAATCAAATTCGTCTTCCATACTCCTTTCCATCGAGATTATTACTTGGGGAATGATCCAGATAAGAAAGATTTGAAATGATGAGGGTATTTGAAAGCCGGAATTTCATAACGGTAATCAATAGGGAACGTCGGATTTGCATGCCGGAAAGACAGTGGCGTGCCTTCTTGAGCAGCAAACATTGGTGAAATAAAATTTATGTAAAGACCAAAAAAAAGCGCAGGGCAAACGTAACCGCGCATGCCACTCTAAAGAGGCAAAAAATGAAATGAAAAATGCCAACTCTAATATCAAATGCCAATTATTACTTCACAAAAAGATTAACAAATGAAAAAAAAATTCTGCAGTAGAACCTTCATTTTCAAGTAGAACCTGATTTGTATCTTTCAACAATATCTAACCGACTTGTGTTCGTTGCTTCTGGTGGACCATTCGCCAAACTAAAAATACCTAGTTAAAAACTATTTGGTGCCTGCGTTGCTACCGTAAACACTACTTATTATAAATGAATATGCAGCTGCCAAATCTAGAAAAACACTAATTCAATTTCAAGTTTTATTTGTTTCTTCAGTTTGTTTTTCCTTCACTAGGACCCACTCCAAGAAATAATAAAATTTCGTTTCTTTGGCCCCTTTAAATCCTTTTAAAAATAATTGACCTCTTATTAAGTGATGCGACCCCATGGTTGGCAACTGCGTTAAAATAATGACATTTGACATCTGCTAATAAATGAATAACCTATCTTTCGGAGTACCTTCTGCATTTTCATTTTTGGTAAATGAGAAACTGATTTCCAGAATATGTCTGAAAAGAGATTTTCAGTCGTCCTATATGAAGTTGGGGCTCCAGAATGAAGAATCAGCTTTGAAGAAATATAAGATGGTCTGTCCCAATATGTCCCAAATATGAAAATGCAGAAGGAACTCATAAAGATAGGTTATTTATTCATTAGCAAATGTCAAATGACATTATTTTACCGCAGTTGGAAACCATTCGGTCGTATCACTTAATAAGATCAAGTGAATGTGACCCATCATCATTATAATTGAAATAAGGAAAAATGAGTGTGATATATCATTAAAAAGGTAATTTCATTTATTTTTGGCGCCCTCTTGCGGGAAAAACAATATCAACAAGTAACTTCAGAAACGTCCCGTTGTTTTTGCCGCAAGAGGGAGCCCAAATGAAAAGTTACGTAGTGGATGAATATATATTTGAATATTGTTTATGTATTCACTTTTTAGTTTACAGTTCTGTATACATGAAATTGAATCTGACATGTAAAAATTGTTGAATGAAAGCTTTGGAAAACTTTTGAAATAATCGTTTCAATTCAATGGATAGAATTTCCAATAATTTCGAAAATGTTTCGAGCCTGGAAGTCCAAAGATATTGTACACTGTTTGGATATCTATAGCATATCCATCGAAGGATATCCATTGCAAGTTATCTGTGGGATATCTTATGGACATGAAATGTATATCCATATAATATTCGGTATTGTCTGGAATATTAAAATACCCTGCGAACCTGCTGACATAAACCTACTTCGAAATACACGCCAATGGTTTGCGTGTCTGTGCTTTTGTGGTCTGATTTTGAATATGTGTCTTATATTTACATTATTATGTTTTCTCTTAAATCTGCAATTTATATTAGTTCGTGCCTTGTACTGAAAGTTTGTATTAGCGATGTGGAACGAAGTACAGCCATTTTATAATGTACAAATAACGCGATATTCTTTTCAACAAATATACCAAAACACGCTACGAATTTAATTTGATACAATTTTAAGTCTTAAGTTTTTTTAACAAAATTTCGAAGTTCGAATTGGAGTTTGATAAAAATTTTGGTTTAAAGTCGTGATAAGGAAAAAATCCGATTTCAAATGAAAAATTTAACAACATTCTGACTTCAAAATGGAAATTTTCATTTGAAATCGTCTTTGAACTTGTAATTTTACCAAATCCCTATTTTGAACTCGAAATTTAATGAATGAAATATAAACAAAATGAAATAAAAAAGTGAAAAACTAAGGTGTCGATACAATTATACACAATATTTGAACAAATAATGAACACAATCGAAATTTTTTATATTTCAAGGCTGTAGCGACATCTTACAGGTAATAGTAGAAAATACTAAACATGTATTGGAATGTATCTACAGGTTTCTACGTATGCTTGCTTAAAGGAAGAAAATTTGGGCAGATTCGGGTTAGAATGGTTAGATGAATTAACATTCTACTGATGACGACGTCTATTTTCGACAAATGGGTAACATCAAATAGTAAACAACTGATCCCTACAGTTGAATGTGAAATAATTTTACATTCATATATGCTCATATTATTTACAGATTCCAGCGTATGCTTGTTCAAACAAATGAAATGCGGACTAGAGAAGTGAAAGTTTCTACCGATGAGGCCGCTTGTGTTCAACAAATGGTGACATTAAACAGTAAACAATTGAATCCTACAGTTGATATTAAAGAATGTTTACGTTGGCTTGCTCAAGAGAAGAAAATTCGGGCTAGGAAAGGAATTTCTATCGATGAGGGTGTTTATGTTCATCGAATGGTGACCTCAAACAGTGAACAACTGATTCTCACTGTTGAAAGTAGAACATGTTTATAGTTATTGTTATAGGGTTTGTTGTGTAACAGGATGCATAGATACGACTTCTCTCGGCTTAGGACCTCCCCTAAGATGCATGTAGGAGACTGTGTGTGTGAGAGAGAGATATAGAATTCTCTTCTTAGTTTTGACAAGCTTTACCAAGGTGTAATCACTCAGATCCCTCTGTATGTAGAATATTTTGACGGGAACACTCGATCTACTGCACTCTTGATTATTCATAAATTGAAGAGATCCAACGTACTTTGGTATTCCAGAGGCGCTATGCGAATGTTTTGATGAGATTATTCTAGAGGCAAAAATACGTAACTTTTGAATAATATATTTCGTTAATGATGATTCTTAGAGACAACTCGTAGGATTCAGTTATTTACTTAGTATTGTGATTGTATGAAAATGGCGGTTGCAAGAAGTAATAAGTAGATGTGAGAAACGGGAGTTGCTCCTACTTAGATATTATCTTGATTCAAATAATAATGGGGAAAAATTAGTCCCCAAAAATGTCGTAAAACAGCTAACACTAACCCAAAAACAGTCTTTAAAATTTTTAACTCTAGCCCTTGTCTCCATAGCTGACATGTGGAGTTGCAACAGAACAGGCGAGTTCTTGAATTCTACATAACAATCGTGACGTATTGCCTCAACGAATATATGAACCATTAAATCAATGGGTGGACACACAGATGAACTTAATAAATCGCCTAACATGTCAAGTGTCAACTTTTTTCATTTTTATAAATTGTGGGGTTATGTTGGATATTCTTAGTAAATCAAAATGTTTCTAACAAACGTTTTGTTGAAAAAGATTAAGAGCAAGTGAGTACTCAGAATTTGAAAATCGATTGTGAAATTGTTTGTCAATTTTTGTAGAACAATTATGGTTCAAATGCAAAGTATGGTCAGCGGGCACACTTTCAACACAATAAGGGAAAGATTGGGGGATAAAGTGGAAATAATCAGGTTTGACCCATTCAGTAAGTACCAATTTAATTGGACTTTTTTACTTCCAAATATCTATTTGTTATAATAGTTTTTTCACTATTCTCAAATATTTCCTTGATTTTTGTTTCAGTTCAGAAAGAGTGCCTGTATAGAGAAAAGAAGAAAATTCGAAGCATGTAGAATTCATATTGAATTAATTGTTTTTATGTATATACATCGGAAAAAAGCTAATAAATTATTAGAAATCTTCTGACATTTTGATGGAATATTTTCATTTCGAATCATTTTCATGCATCAGAAAAACTTGTTTACTGCTATATATAGATCTATATGCAAATGACACTATAATAATTACAGAAAATCCGAACGAAAATCTTAAAAAAAGTCGATTGAATATCTGAGATTCTGTTAATGGTGTTTCGAAAACATTACAATCCTTGAAAGTTTTTAAATTAAATCTGTCGCTTGCTGTTCAATTAATTCCAAGAAAAAGTTACAGTAATAACTATATAAATGCAAATAATTGAAAACCTGTTGGGAATAATATATTAGTGTCTCAGGTAGGCAATTTCATGTAGAATGTATCAATATACAGGGGGTTCTGTTTGTAAAAATTCACATTTGGAGCACCCCTTATAAAAAATAAAGGATGATAAGAGCTGATATGTCACTTTTGATTTCTGATAAAATTCAGATCTTTGAAGAAACAAACAGCTAAATTACAGTTAAACAGCAACACATATTAGAAGGTATAAACACTTACAGGCGTGTCTCAAGGTATTACCTCTCATCAGCGCAGGAAAGTGTCTGGGACTCGATTAATTTCAACACGGCTCAACTGCATGTCTGAAACCTTCATCTAAGAGACAAATTGATGATTTGTAACAGCTCTATCTTGTGAACAAAGCCCTAGGTAAAGCTTCACTTCAATTTTTGTTATTTTCAGTTTATGAATCACTAATAGATATAATTATTATCTATTTTATTTATTGTCTGAAATATATACTACCCAAAAAATAAAATGTAATTGGGTATCATCGGTAATACCGAATGCATTATCACTCTTTCCGCTTTTGAAAGAAGACGAAATCATGCTTCAAAAAACCATATAATTATTTCACTGAGCAAGAAACTTTACACAATACAATTCAAAAGAATCGGTATCACACCGAACAAAAAGTAACAACAAATAAAATTGCTATCATTAAGTTTATTCAAATCTTTAAAAAACAACAGACGTTCAACAAAATAAAATATAAAGTATGTTCACACAAACAATTCTTATATCGATACGAATCAGGTTTGTTAGATACTTGCGAAATATACAACTAAACTACCAAGATACACATAATACCCTCTGATCGCTAAGCAAGTTTGTACAAAATTGATAAAACAGATAACCAGCAACACACACCTCAGATTCACTTTCAGATATGGATAAACACATATCGAAAATGTTACCGGCCCGAATCTGGACCAATGTGGCAGCCCAACATACTTGCAGTCTTAATATTCACACTTACATAAAATCTCGAACATAAGAATTTCTGTGGAAACCATCGGAACGGAAGGGGAAATTACATCCTCATAAAAATCCATTAATCAGACGAAAAAACTAGCTACGATACAATCGATAAAGGTGTAATTCAAGGATTTGGTTTTGGGCAACTTCTCTTATGCATTGTGTATACATCGCAGAGAGAAGTGGCCCACAACCAGGTTCTTGAAGTACACTCTACATATTTTTCAATCGTATTGTAGCTAGTTTTCTGTTGGCTACAAGCTTCCATCATAGAAAAATGAAAGATCAACTGACATGACCTACAATTCAGATCTATTATGAACTAAATAATTTCTCAATTCGTTCTCAGAGGTTTTTACAATAGTCGCACAAATAAATGTGAGCAAGGATTTTGTACGGGGAAACTAAGCGGCCTTGTCTAAGACATCGAGGATTATAACGAAATTATTGAAGTTTGTAATCCAGCATCAAACCAACGTACTTTCTGAAGAATTGGATGCAGAAGTTGTTCATCGATATGATATTTCAAAAATTCTGAACAATCCGCTGCTGGCGCCAAGCTCATTTAAATAATTAATTAGCTGAAACTAGAAATCTCATCAATTACCTCACGAAATATATTGAAAAATAGAATCAACGAACATTATTGTACTTATATACTAAAAGGTTGCAAACGAAACAACACAAATCAACACTAGATAAGCTTATCATTTATCACAATGCCCAAGGTTTACCTTCAGAAGGGCGACAAGCTCAACATAACCTCAAAAACGTTTCAAATGACATGTAAAAAATCTTTTATGACAAGGCGACAGATGGCGTTCTTCAACATGTCCAGTGACGGGTCCAAAGTCGAGAAAAAAAAAGAAAAAGTGATAGTTTCACACATATTAGCAGTTATTTCACACGAGAAAATTAGCAGGAAGCAGACAAATGACTCAAAACGAATGTTGAGGTTATGTCAAGTTGTACTCATTTTGAACAATTCTTCAGGGATGAAAAAAGATATAGGTCAGATCCCAGATGAGGTTTATATGAAACAGTCCTTTTATATAGTAGGGAAGATGGTTTGAGAATAGTGTTTGTTGCTAAAAGTTTTTCCATTAGCTCAAACACTAAAGTTGAATCTAAAAAATATAATGTAAATGTGCACATTAAGCTGAAATGGTGGAAGTTCATCATGAAAATCAAAAACTTGTAAATGCCAATAATTTTTTTGAAGAAAAGCTGGTTGGGTAAAAAGATCAATTTTTTTCTTGAAATATCGTTTTGTGTTGGCAAGAAAACAATTTTTTTTTTCAAGAAAAAATTGCCCCTGTTACCCAGATCGTTGTTTTTAGCTGATTCTACTATTGGTACCAAAATATAAATAATTTTCACAAGTTCATTTATTCAAAACATTCCTCGAATTTACTTTCATTCGTAAGCTTATAAAGTATGTGCTAATATATGCTATAAATTTTTCAGTGGTAACGCATTATTTCACACCGTAGAACTGCAAACACTCCTTTCGACGCGCGATTCATCAACCAAATTTATCAGCAAAAAAAACTAATACTGCATCAAAATATTAACGAAGTGGATCTCAACTTCAACCGATAACTCAAAATGTGCAACTTGTTTCAATATTAGAAGAATTTTTATAACAGACAATTAAGTTTAGAGATACATACACCGAAATTATGAAATAATCATTATTATTTTCACTATTGGTATCTCGGTAACGGTAGAAGATACGATGTTGCTTAAATCAAACAAAAAAATCACTTTTTAGAATGAAATGGAGATGTGTTAAGAAATCCAGACTATCATGGGCCGTTCTGCAGAATTCGCTTTGAAAACTGCAGGTCCATATTTGAAAAAAAAAGATGAGTGTGGCTCTAAGTAAGTGAAACTTCTTATGAAAAATAAAATGAAGGCACACTGAAGTTACATAAAAAACTATTAGACATTTATTTCATATACAGATAGTCTGGATTTCTCAACATGATTCTATAGCATTTTGATAACTGCATCGAAATTTTGCCACCCGGTATATACGATAATAAATTTGATCTTTAATTTTTGATTAGCTTTTATTTTCTTATTTTTCGTTTATTGAATTTTCCCAATTTTTTTTATATCATGGAGTGAATACTACAACTAGGTAACTACTAATTTGGCAAAATATGGATAACTGCAAAGAAAAATTCCATTAGGTTAGGTGTACAACATACTACAACTAGGTAACTGTTGCAGACAGTTTACAGGTGCACATCAGTTTGAGTTTTCCCCGAAACAGCCGATTTGTAGCTACATAGTTGTACACCCCATGATATGTTTTACTCGTAATAATCGTAATAAAAATTGAATTTCAAAAATATCTTCAATTCAATCGTCAAACACTCAATAGAAGAAACAATTTGATTATATGAAGTTCATAACTTTCTCCAATACAACAGTTAATTGAAATTAAATGAATCACCTGCAAAGAAATAGTTATAATCACCTGCTCAACTTTCATTTTCACACTCTCTAGTTATTTGAGTGTAGAAATAACTGACCAAGTCACTATTACTAATATAAAATCTCATTTCAAACAATGCGAACTCAAACTTCCACCATTCAACAGTAAATGCTCAATACACAAATGAGACCTTATTTTATCACGAACAATACCTCAAGAAACGACACCATTTCAATGTCAAAACTGACCTTCCAGACCCAAAAAACACCGAAGTCGAAACAGGCAGCAACAAAGTTTCGATATAGCCCGTCTATCCCACCAGTCAAACTCCGCTCTTCACATAAAATCCATTAAATGATATTTCACTAGCTACGGAACCATCAATGCACTTCGTCCCTTTTTGGCGCTAGCCGAGTTCACTATCCTTCTGTCGCCATGATATCCAATAACTGCTTGATGGTCTTGTTGTCCAACAAGCATAGGTCGAAGTCGAATGTATTGGCGTTCACTTCGAATAGACCCGTATCCGCGATGACAGTGACGACTTGCTGCAGGTTGTCGCTTTCCTTCAAGTCCATTATCCTCCTCTGGAGGTCGCGGAGAACTTCTACGTCCCACTGCGAAAGGAACGGAAATTGAGAAACTTGTTCATTTATTCTTTATCAATGTTACGAGATGAACATAAAATATACATTGATAGATAGATAGATAGATAGATATTCATTTATTTCTACAGAGTATATGTAAATCTTGTAAAAAAGTTAAAAGAAATACTTTGTACGAGAAATACGTCAATGAACAAAATTACAAAAGATTAATAAGATACAAAATTTGAATACAACACCTCACATACACATATAAGTATAGAGTTGATAAGATAAAATTTAACATACACTGTTGAAATATTCATCTATATATAAAGGAGTTATAGATAAAGGAGTTTTTAATCGGACATAGCACTCAAGGAAGTGGCAAACCATAGACACGTGTTTCGGGCTTTTGGCACATCATCAGTATGGTGCAGCCAACTGTAAGGATGGGCAACACTTGGTTACCAGAAGAAAAAAATACAAATGCACGGAGCCACCAGCAGGAGCCAGCCGCACATTTGTGGTTTCACTCAATAGATCTTGTGTTTACAAGAAAACTATCAAAATCACCACGGAGGCAGTTATAGCTACCTGCATGACATCCGGGTCCAGGAAATGATATGAATACGAAGGTTATCGAGTGTCTTGATATAGATAAAGGAGTTTTTATATTTATATCATATAGATAAACATAAACATTGTCAGCCACCTTCAAACAAACGTATAATCTTGAAGTTATGCGCCGCTTGCAGGAAACAATATGAAGAAAACGTCTGGTATTGTGGAAAAAGACTTTATGGCTTTTGATCACGATAATGCACCTGCTCACATAATTTTTTCACCAAAAACAAGAGTGTTATCATTCTTCAGCCACCGTATTCACCAGATTTGACGCCCTGCGACTTTTTCCTGTTCCCAAGATTGAAGAGACCAATGAAAAAACGGCGTTTTGCGACGATTGAGGAGATACAAATATTACAGTCTATAGTCCTCCAGTAGCAGAGTAACAAATCATTTTCAAGTTGCTGTCTCATGGACGTACACAACTGAGTGGGTTAAAAAGTGAAAAATGCCTCATCAGTTTAACTGATGAAGCTGCCATGTAGCAAAACACGTTTCAAATGAAATTTATTGTGGAAATTCTATATTTATTATCATGGATACTGAAGTAACTGGTCAAAGTATTCATGATAAAAATATAATTTTCAAGGGCATTAACTCACGTCGCTATTGGGTCCTACATAGGTCTTGCCATCCACGACTATCAGCTTCTCCTTTCGTGTATTATTTGAACTACTAGGTCTTTCAAGTTTCTGCACTTGCTCTGGCGGTTCATCCGAATCCAAGTCATTTGAGGATTCAGCCTTTCTTTTTCTTCTTCTCTCACCATCCCTGTCGCTTTTCTTATCCTAAACAAAAAAACAGAAAAAAAATTGATTGTTTGAAACCATCTGAAAATCTAATAAGTACCTTCTTCCTATCTTTCTTTTCCTTCTTCTTGACGGAATGATCGTCTCTCCTTTTCTCGGGTTCCGGTTTCCTGGGGGTTTCCACTGGAACTGGAGATGGAGATCTGGAGGGGGCTCTGGAGGAAGGAGAAGAAGCCCTGCTGCTGCTGATTTTCATGGAATCATCCGAAGATTCATCGTCTCTGAAAAAAATGGATAGAATAAAATGTCAAACCTCTATTAATATTCGTCTCTATTTTGACTTTATGCATAATAGTGTCAGAGATTTCAGAACAAAGTAGTGAAAATATTCTTCAAAATATTTTGGCTGCCTTCACCGACATTTTCTGAGAAGTGCATATTGGTTTAAAAATAGTTGAAAATAAACAAAAAGAACACCCAAATTTTGAGAAATGAAAATTTTCATAACTACCTTTACAAGAGATTCCAAAAACACCCATAAAACAAGAATACAAATTAATAAAGGAAGAAATCAGATGGAGTAAGAGTGTTTTACTTATTATGAAAAATCAGCAAGTTACTTTAAGCAGAAACTTGGACTTAATTGAGTCCTACTCAACTAACAGATTTCAAGCGGTGCTATACAATAACTGTGTATCCAGTTTCAGAGATGTCAAACTGGGCGTTCCTCAGGGCTCCGTATTGGGTCCGCTGTTGTTCATTATCTAGTCCTATGTTTATATGTATTGAATGTATATTTACATGTTTGTTTGTTTACATATTTATAAGTATAAGTTGACATGTTCGATACCATGTAGTTGGTCCATGAATGAATAAATTTCCTTTCTTTCTATACAACTTTTCGTGAATATTTCCTCAAAACCATATAATGTTGACCTTTTTAAAACTTTATAAAGTGTTCGTCAAAAAATTCACCAATTTCGGAACAATTTTAGTAGATTGATCAGTACTTTGGGGTAAAAAAATCTTCTTTAAACAAGAAAACACTCTCTATAAGTTAATATTTTGCTTTCATTAATTCGTCAACCTATTCTGGATGGCATTTGTATAAAGATTCATCAAGTGTAATAATGTAATTGCTAATTTACCTCTGGAAAGAATGACTGCTTTCAGCTTTCTGGTCCACTTCCATGGGCGTAGAGGGGCTCCCGAATAGGTTACTCTTGTCCACATCTCGAGTAGAAGATACCGCAACGGCAGGTTCCTCGTCGACCTCCATGACGCTAGGAGGTGAACTAGATTGTTTTTCGACCTTCTCGTTCCTTGAACGCTTGTCTTCCCGCTTCTCCTTGCGATCTTTTTTCTTGTGTTTGTGTTGCTTCTGCCTGTCTTCGGACTGGTCATGCCTGACTCTGTCTGTTTTTTCTAATTTCTCTTCCTCCTTGGGCTGTGACTCTCTGGGCGATTCTTTCTCCCTCACTTTCCTGTCAGTCTGGAATACGTCGAAATTTTAACTTTGATGCATTTGAATATTTGTAAACTGCACAATAAGTCGCCACAAATAAAAGTATTTAAATATATTCAAATGTGTACTAAATTTGTTTTTTTTCACAAGCATTTGACCATGCTTTTTTTTTAAATGGTGAACTCTCTAGCTATGTAGATCATCACTCGATTTTATTGGCCAAATTAGATTTCTACGGAGTGAGAGGTGTCGTCTGCCTGGACATGATGAAGTCATACCTTAACGAAAGATATCAAATTGTTGATCTAGGAAATACCAAAAGTGAAAAAAGAAAAATATTAAGAGGAGTGCCACAAGGGTCAATATTGGGGCCACTTCTGTTTCTAATCTATATCAACGACCTGCCTTACGTGATGAACTCGTCAGACATAGAAACTATATTGTATGCAGATGATGCAACCTTGGGCAAAAAAAAAATATATAAAATAGATGTTCCTCATATGATCCATACTGACATATTAGAGAAAGCTCGATCATTGTTCACACCAAGTGACTTGATTCTCAACGAACAAAAAACAGAAACTCTAACTTTTGAAACAATTTGCCTAAATGGATACAACAAAAAGGTATGGTATAATCAATTGGAATAATGCATCAAAGGTACATCTTAATAGAATATTTGTCATTAAAAAATCTGCAGTAAGAAGCATAATCTCTTCCAATTATGATAAAAGTGTCGACCAGTATTTGTAAAACTTAAAATAATGACCCTATATTCAGTTATTGTCTATGAAAATCTGCTTCTTGTTCAACAAAACTTAATGAATAAAGTTGCTCACAAAGATATACATCAACATGATACAAAAAATAAATCAAACCTTGTTCCTACAGCTAATAGGTTGAAAAGAACAGATAATATAGGAATTAAGCTATACAATGCCTTATCTGTCAAATTTCGTAAGTTACCATTTAGAAGATTCAAAAACTTATTGAAGAAAATATTAACCAAACATCCTTTATATGAAATTGATCAATTTTTCGCAGTTATTCAAGAATCTACAAGCATTTTTTAGAAACTATATTGACGAATCTTATCCTCTCAAACCTATTTTAGAAATTGTATTGACGTGTCTAAAAACTGTGTGTTTCTTGAGACTAATAAAATTATTATTATTATTATCATAGCTCAAAAGCTTTGAGAAGTATCTGAGATCTTCTGGAATATCCTCTACGACACAGGAGAAGTGTTTTCTCTCCTGCTGCAGAATTCTACTTCTGCCGCCCAGGAATTTGGTGCAAAGCAGAATCATACGATATCCTTCTCATAAAATACATCAACAAACCAATTATATGTATCTATTGCGAGCACTTTTTCCACATCAGTCATCTCCTGATGATGCTGATGAGAAAAAAACTCGCGTCGAGAAACAGTATTTCTGTTCTATTATGAAAAACGTGTTTTCAATAAATCAACCTATATTATTGAGCATGAACACGATTGTATGTCAAGCGTATGAACAGCAGGTCGAGACAGGTTTCCAAAATCTTGACACGTTTTTCACTATAAATTCATTCCTCGGGCGTGTACAAGCATGAACATGCATTGTTCATACTTGTATGAACATGCCTAAGACATGTTTACACTATATAACAGCTCCTCTCGTGTTTATACTTGTATGAACATGTCTTTGAAAAACTGTCTCAAGTGTGTTCATACGTTCGAATGACTTTAACTGCGATCCAGATTTGCTTGAAAGGGTCATTACTGGAGACTAATCATTGGTCTATGGTTTGAAATCAAAACCAGAGTCCAATCGTCCCAATAGAAGAGCTCAGGGCAGCCAAGACCAACATTTTCTTCTATTACCGTGGCGTAGTGTATCAGGAGTTGCCCGGTGTTGCACTTGTTCGTAAATTTTTGGCCAAAAACAGCATCTCAATCACGCCTCAGCCGCCGTATTTACCAGATTTCGCTCCCTGTGACTTTTTGCTGTTGCTAACATTGAAGATACCGATGAAAGGACGGCGTTTTGCGATGATTAAGGAGATGAAAACCGAATCGCTGAACAATATAGAATTTGATAAATGAATATTTCTTGAGAAAAATGAAAACTTACTTAATGAACAGATATCGTATACGAATATTTCTTACGCACATTCTCTGTATGTATTTTTTTTGGGATGAAATAAATGTTGAGCAAGGAATGAAATAACGCATTCAACATTTAAAGGGATTCGTTTCTATTTCACCATTTGGCAACATCAATTATAGCTAATAAAGGACAATGAATCTGTTACCTGTATGAGACAAACAAAGATGACATATTTCAGAGGCGTGCTGTTCTGTTTACTTATGTTCCAAGTTCCGAGACATTTTGTGACATATGACATTTTGTGCACCTAACCTATCTCCACCTATATAAGTAAATAACAAAACAACTGTGTTTATGTGGCTTGTGGAGGTGGTATTGAACTATAATTTCTATTTTGCCTCAATTGTTGATTCATAGAGATAATTTTTTTTTTAAAGTAGAATATCTAGGTACGTATAAATTATTTCAACTTGATATAGGCGCTGTTGCCAATATGTGAATTAGAAACGAATCCCTTTAAAAATTGAAACCCAACATGTGAAACCTCAATTTGAATACTTTTCTAAGTGAATTTTAAAAACTCATGAATTAAACTCAACTTTATTTTGTTCAAACTTGCATTTGCTGTAATAATCCAAATTGAGAAACATTCTCAAGTACCGAAAATGGTTAATAAAGATTACTATTATTTGTCATAGCTTACCTTATGAGTTTGTTGAGGTGTCACAACAGGTATCGGTACGGGACTTGGTTCCTTAACTTTGACGTTAGAAGCCTCCTTCTCCTTTTCCTTAGACGATTTGCTATCCCTGCTCTTGTGTTCTTTGTGATCCTTCTCCTTATCTTTGTCCCTGTGCTTCGAATCCCTGTGCTCCCTCTTATCCTTCTTGGATTTCTTGTCTTCCTTACTTCTATCTTTATCTCTATCTTTCTTCTCTTCTTTGTTCGAGTCTTTGGTGCTGCTGCTGCTACTGCTGTGTTGTTTTTGAGCGGGGGGAGGAGTGGCCGCTCTTTTAGGAGACCTTCAATCAGCACCAATCAATGACAAACATCACTCAAAACGTAACCTCACCATCGATATGGTGAGTCATAAAATTCTATTGATATCGATTTATTGCATTCATATTCAACAGACACATTATTATTATTATTATCCCAAAGGAGGCTGGCCGGGCCCGTTACCCTGTGATACTGAAGAAGCCGCAGCGGCATCAATACCAATGACCACTCCCTACGTCGTGTAATGCATGGATTACCACAAGGCGCAATTCTTGGGCCCCTATTAATTCTGATCTATGTAAATGACTTTTCTAAAATTATACCAAATGAGTTGTTGCAAATTTGATGATTTAACACATTATTTTTGTATGCTAAGACTATCCTGTGTGGAAGAACAGTTTATTTTTATTACCCTTAGATGAAAATAAACTGAACTTCGCCCTTTATTTCCCTGTAATAAAAATATTATTGTGTAAAACTGTTATTAACGTTCTATTGGAGTTAATGAAGAAGAATTATCATTATTATTGCAACAACTTGCTAAAGTTTTCTATACATAAATACCCATACTTTTTATAAACTATAATTTTTAAATGCACTGATATGTAGATGATTTATTAATAAGGCAATTGCTTTTTTTTGACATTGTTTTTCTACTTTCTAGGGTGTGACAACAAATAATTTCATTATTATCATTTTTATTATCAATGAGCCAAAGTATCATCAAGAATCAACCACTAACCTTTTCGGGCTAGGACTTCGTGGACGTGGTGCTGGTGCAGGAGATTTTTCCTTCTCCTTATCCCTATCCTTCTTCGAACTTTTTTCTTTTGCTCTGTCTCGGTCTTTGCTTTTGTCATCTTTTGATCTCCTCTTCTCTTCTTTTTTCTTATCACCGCTGTCCGAAGTCCTGTCTTTCGATTTGTCCTTGTCCTTTTCCTTCTCTTTGGGGGAAGGCTTCGATTTGGGCTTGTCGCTCTTATCCTTGTCCATTACTATAATGTTCAATTCAAGAGATAACTAACATTATAGTTATAGTTTGAACAGGAGATCATGAAAATAGTTTTCTTTTATCCAAAGCGATTGAAAGATAGTAGGTAGTTATTTTTTTGTTTTCCAAAATACTCTACCACTTTTTTGGTGGCACAATCATCTTTTGACTTTGTTGACCATGTTCTCCAGGTCTTTGTCTGACGTTTCGTCTACAATAACGGTAGAATGCACATACTAAATTGTTTGGGAATATGGTCTCAAGTTTTATTCTAACTGATGGAATAAAATAGAAGACCCTGACCCCCAAAGTAGTGCACTACGTCCGTTGTCTCATGGACTTTGATAATATCTACCGCAATTGCAGACGAAGCGTCAGGCATAAAATCTGCAGCCCACAGCCAACATAGCCATATTTTTCTCCCACCGTGAAACCTTCAACCGTGATTTCAACAACTTACTTAAATAATTATCAATGAATTGAACAATTACCTTTATCTTTATCTGTACTAGAAGAACTTTTAGGGATTTCCTTAGGTTTTGGAGGGGGGTCAGGGGCTCTGCTGGTCTTCTTTATAGGTGGCCCGAAAAGATTTTCGAAATCCGTATTCCGTGGCTCCTCAGGCTTCAACTTGTGCTTCTTGGCCACATCCGTGCCGCTCAGTTTTGGTTTACTAGTCATCTGAACTTTATCATCAACTGCTTTGTGATTATCGCTAACGTCGAAGGCGTTAACTCCTGAACCCGGCTATAATAATAACAGCGAAAATATCAATAACAATCCCGCACAAGAAAATAATACATTCAATATAGATGAAGAAGAATATTTTAAAATCTTATAACAGGGAAAAAACTCAGTTCTAGGGCATGACTATATCACAAGAAAGATTTCGAGAAAGCTGGATTGATTCACAAGTATATCATAAAAAGCTATGAATTTTGCCTTAAAACGCATTATATACCTGGAAATTGGAAAATGGGCACGATAATTACAATTCCCAAACCAAACAAGGATCACTCCCTTACAGACAGTTATCATCCGATAACTCTCCTGCCTGTAATTGGTAAAACTTTGAAAAACTTTTACGAAACTGTTTACTCCAACTGCCTAATGATAAAATTCCAAGCTACCAGTTTGGATTTAGACAAGGAAGATCTACTAGACATCGTCACACCAACAACATTTTTTATAGCATGAAGATAATTCTAGATATTTTAGAACACTCCAAATGAATAATAATAGTACATTATCTTTCCATATCTGCTGTTGACGAAATGTGAAATTTACAATAATATTAGAGGCATATACTTACTACTGCTCCGCCTTTCAGAAGTTTGTTCTTGAACTCCTCAGAAGGGTTGAAGAAAGTATATTTTTCCTTTTGTACTTTGTGTATCGGAGGTCCTGCTGGTTGGAGCCCAAGATCATAGTTGAATCTAATCTTTTTTGGCTCCTGATTGTTCCTCAGATAAATGTCTATGGGTAAAGTGAATCCGGCATACCCAGAAGTTCTGAGGGAATATGGTGGCTCTTTAACAACTGAAATAATACCTTTTTTAATGGGTGATCTATCAAAAATTTCGGGTTTGGTAATTATTTGGTTACACAACGGGCTACAAATATTTCCTCAGATTCAAATCTTTCAGTGTACTGCGAAATTTTGAATAATAAATCAAGGCTCTGGGAATACGTACCTCTCTTTGGTTTCGGAAAGGTCTCGTGCAAGTGAAAAACGACCTTATCTACATAATGATGTATATCAGTACCATTACAACCCTTCACAAAAACTTCCCAATCATGAGTGAAACCTTCAGGTGTTGTTTTTGTTCTTAATGAGGCATCATGCCCAATTTCCAGCAAAATGGTTATGGACATGTTTCAGTTAAACATCCCTTAATTCCTCCATGATAAACACGAACTCTTCTATAATTCTTCATTAAGGAATCGTCACATCTAGAATTAATAGTAACCTAAATTTAGATTTTCTCTACATGTGGTAAAAGATGAATATTTTCGTATGTGCTTCGTTCGTAGACATCAACAAGAACAGGGGTTTTATTCACCAAACTTTTCAGAAACTAGTAGCGTCGTCAGATCCTCAAAGATTATGTATTCATTATTATCAAATTGTAGACTTTTCCAGACTAATATCAAGCAAATAAAGAATAAAGATTTGTTTGTGTATCATATTATAATGACATTTGACTGTTCAAGTTCTAGTTCAGAACAGTATAGACAACTGTGAAGTGGAAAATAAGCTTTTGCGAGTAAAAATTGGCCATATTTTAGTTAAAATATGCCTAAATATATCACTGGTTTCTTATGGCACAGATTGGCTTATGGTTCAAAGTATGAATGCTGATTGAATAAATATTGTGAAATTATCTTGAAATTGGATGTTAAGTGTCCTTTTACGCAAACTGTATATATGTTATACACAATAAGTATAAATTGTGATAACGTTAGTGTATCAGAATACTATTTCGAACATAATGTCAAGTATAAAATAATACGGGTCAATTTTCATTAGATCATTCAGGAGGGCCGAAAAGTGGGTAACCTATAGCTTTTGGCAAAACATCGATTATTGCCATAAGGTACCGTATGTATTCTGTGATCATGACACTATATATATAGTCTTGTATTAGCAATTCTCTACATTATAATCTGAATACCAGACGTACGAAATTGAATGGACTGAAAAATACGTTATATGCCATCAAAGTTATATCTAGCTCTTCATAATTGAATATTGAAAGCTCATTATAACTAAAGGTTGTAGAAACCAAAACTGACCTGCTTCAAAACTGATCATATGATTGGTCCTGAAAAAAGTTTCGCGTTCGCCTAGCGGTCTAGTAATATCTTCCAAATAACAAATTATAACCGTCAACAATAGTTCTGAAACAGCCACTTCGAGAGCCAATTTCAATTACAATAATTATGATTATTACAAAGTAATATTTCGTGGAAATATTGGAAGAAAATGCTACTTTGATCTTTTCTTTATTTTCCTTGAATTTTGCGCTGCCACCTTGCGGCGATAAAGGAGTTAAAAAGATTGATAGTGACGTCTGTGGTGACGTCGTGGAGCCTACGAAGGCTAAAAGATTTGAATTTTATGAAGTTAGGTTAAGTTGTATAGACGACTGGGCAGATAAATATATTTGAGAATTTACTTTAAATGACAAAAAGGTACATTTGAATTGAGTGCATATTGTATTCTGATTGAAACCGAAGAAATAAAAATCTTAAATTCTAGTTTTTTACAGTCTGACAGCATGGCTAACCTAATCGAGGATATCCTGAAGTATTTATCAGAAAACCAGAGTGTCAATACATTGAAATATGCCCAACTCTACAATGAAGACCACCAAAAAGTCATAGGAGCCCTAAAGAGTATTCAGGCCCACGGCGATTTGGTAGTGGCCGAACCTATTAGTGAGACTAAAATTGAACTTACAGAAGAAGGAAAACTTGTAGCAGAAAAAGGTTCCCGAAATGTCCTGTTCACATTTATTACCAAATGTTACCTCCCAATTTTAGATGTTTTTTTGAATATGTGGTGTCTTTGCTAAAGTTCAATCCAATCTCTCATTAACAAGAAACTCATGCATGGACTTGAATTTTAATAGCCGTATATATTTCTTTGAAAATATTTTGGTTCTATTTCAGGAAGCCATGAAGCCAATATTTATAAATCTGTGCCTGAAGATGGTATAGAGCAGTCCAAGTTGATGGGTCTTCCCAACGCCAAGGTAGGTTTTAGCAAAGCAATGTCGGTTGGGTGGATAATTGTCGATAAGAGTGTCAAACCACCTCTCGTCAAAAGAAAAATACCTGAGATAGTTGATACCGTTCAAAATCATCTCGATCTTATCAGGACCGGTGATGCCTCAAAAATCACTGATAAAGAAAAACAAGAGTATAAGAAACGAAAACTCATTCAAGAAGTCATCATAAAAAGCTTCAATCTGACGAAAGGTCCGGAATTCTCATTGACTCTAACCAAACTTGAAACGGATCTAAACACCGACATGCTCTCATCTGGAAGTTGGAAGACGCTCAAATTCAAAGAGTATAACTTCGATGCCATGGGAGTCGCCCCCGAGTGTGGCTATTTGCATCCGTTACTGAAAGTACGAGCAGAGTTCAGGCAGATTTTCTTGGAAATGGGTTTCGCCGAAATGCCCACCAATAATTACATTGAGAACTCTTTCTGGAACTTCGATAGTCTGTTCCAGCCACAACAGCATCCTGCTCGAGATGCTCATGATACTTTCTTCATTTCGGACCCAAAAATAAGTACTAAGTTTCCCCAGGATTATTTGGAGAGGGTGAAGAAAGTCCATAGTAAAGGAGGATATGGATCTTTGGGGTAAGAACTTAATGACAAATAATTTTACCAGATTTTAAGTAAAAACTTATTGAAAATTTATATTGGCCAAACAGGAATGCCTTTTATCCAAAGAACACAAGACCATAGAAGTAGTTTCTTGAATGTGGAGACTAATTCCATATTTGCAAACTATCTTTTGACAGGAGAGCACAACTACGACTTATTACATTTTGAAGAGAAAGGTTTGACATACAATATTTTGGAATGCATCAAAATTATTATATTCAAAAATTCAGAAAATTAACTGATTGACCAAAGAGAATTGAATTCTTTACCTCGTTTCAATCTGTTTTCTAATGTGAAAATTGGTAATTAGTTTATTACATGTACATTCAATGAGTTTGTCAAAATTTTCTTTTACAATGTTCAAATTTTCAATTAATTTTTACCTATACATATACCAAATTGTTACTCATTACATAGGTAGAAGGTCATATGATCCAAATTGTTATTCAAAACACAAATTAAGTAGAATTTAGTCAATATGAAAACGCTTGGGACAGTTATTGTATAGTGATATACGTGTTGCAATTTTGTAAACTGTGAAGTATCACAAAGTCAAATTTAAAACAATCCACATTTGTAGCTATGGCTATGACTGGAAAATCGAAGAGGCTCAGAAAAATATTCTGAGAACCCACACGACGGCGGTGAGCGCTAGGATGTTGTACAAGGTGGCCCAACAAAAGGAGTTCAAACCTGTGAAGTTGTTCAGCATCGACAAGGTCTTCCGTAACGAGACTCTGGACGCAACTCATCTTGCCGAGTTTCATCAGGTAGAGGGCGTCATCGCAGACTTCAATTTGACCCTGGGGGATTTGATTGGGGTGTTCACGGAGTTCTTCAAGAAGTTAGGTTTGTATAATAACGACAATAATAATATCTCATATTGTTACTACCAGTTCATCATTTAATTTCAATTAAAATTTTAATCAGCACATTGTAACAGAATGAGAGAATTTCACATTAGCATATTTTTTCTCCCACACTCTAAATGAGTACAGACTTGTTTTGTGCAGTGAGAAAAAACAGCGAAAAGTGAATACATAGACAAAAATTAAAAGGAGGAGGAAGATTAAAAAAAGAAAACTATTTACAATATAAAAATTGAAAATTACATAATAAAAAATAAAGTTGTGTGAGTCAAAATTTAACAGTGTAGTTGTTAGGGTAATAAGTTGGTAACTGATAATTTTATAGATTTTGTGATTTTCAAGAAGTCCTTGTAATTATTATAAATGAATAGTTCAGTGGCAGAGGTGAATTTCTTGATGTTAGTACATTTTCGAATGGCAAGGTGTAATAGATTATGAGCTTTAGCTTGAATATATGTCACAAAGCGATGACTAATGTTCTTGTAGTTGAGTGATGTAACTGTAACTGGTTTAATGTGCCCCATGTGTCGTAACCATGATTGAAACTTTGCTTGATCTCTTTAATGACGTCAATAAAAACACTTTTGTCTAATTTTCCACTAGTTAACAGTTGAATCTTCCTCTTGAAGATGATCACTTGGTGTTTGGCGTTTGGAAAAAACTCCAGTAATATTCATTACTACACCAAAGGATCCAAACAGTGCATCACAAATCTCTGCGATGTTTTTATTCAGATTAGTAATGTTAATATTCTGCATTATCGGTAGAAAAAACTATATAGTGTTTTTTCTCAACATTCTGTGATAGCTGAAAAGCATTAAGCCCATTCATAATTATCTTTATTTCTCTCTGGACATGTAATTTAGCTCGTGACCAGGTATCACTCTCAAATATGATTACAGTGTCATCAGCTTCGGAAACAATTTCGGCATTTGACAGTGAAAGCATTGAATTGATGTAGAGTAAAAAAAGTATAGGTCCCAGCACCGTTCCTTGAGGAACTCCTATTTTGACAGTAGTTGCAACAGTTAGCAAGTCATATTATCATATTATTAGTTTTATGCTATCAATTTTATTTCCAGTCCAAGAAAACAGTTACTTTAGACGTTATTCCTTTGTTTTTAAGGTATTACACAGCTGGAATTCAAGCCGGCTTACAACCCTTACACGGAGCCCAGCATGGAGATTTTCTGCTTCCATCCGGGTTTGGGAAAATGGATAGAAATCGGTAATTCTGGTATATTCCGTCCAGAAATGTTGTTGCCCATGGGTTTGCCGGAGGAAGTGACCGTCATAGCTTGGGGGCTGTCGTTGGAAAGGCCTACCATGATCAAGTACGGATTCAATAATATTCGGGATTTGGTTGGTCCGAGGGTCGATCTGGAGATGGTGCAGAGGAGTCCTATATGCCGGTTGAACAAGTAGTTTGCTTGATCTACTTGAAATTATCTACGTTTCAAAGTGATTGAAGTCTTATAAGTTATTGCAAATTAAACTTTTGTAAAAGAAGTGTGTTGTTTATTTGAGTGAGATGGAACGGTAGCCTGGTGGGATTACGTAGGTGGTTTGTGTGTGAACCGGTGGTTTGAACCGCAAGGCCGGGTGATCGATTTTCACTTCCTATCCTCCAACCCTTGTTAGGCATCACACGTTGAAAGGTAAGACCTCATTAGTCCTTAGCTCGCACAAGTTTCTACTTCTAAGAGTTGTCGTTCGTAGGAGGGCGGCAGTTAGTTGAAGGAAAAACAGATTTTAACATATTCAACAGAAGATAATATGTGAATCACCAAAATGGAGTAGGTTGCTATGGTTTTTGAGATTCAGTTTTAAATAGAGATAACCTTTTAACATAACCAGGGTTATTGATTGAAAAAACACAATCTGCTTTATTTGGTCACATTTTTTTATTTTTGAAGGTTCATGTCTTTCTAAAAAAGAACGGATTCAATAATATTCGGGATTTGGTTGGTCCGAGGGTCGATCTGGAGATGGTGCAGAGGAGTCCTATATGCCGGTTGAACAAGTAGTTTGCTGGATCTATTCGAAGTTATTTACGTTTCAAAGTGATTGAAGTCTTATAATTTATTGCAAATTAAACTTTTGTAAAAGGGGTGTGTTGTTTATTTGAGGAAGATGGGGCGGGAGCCTGGTGGGATTACGTGGGTGGTTTGAACCGCAAGGCCGGAAGATCGATTTTCACTTCCCACACTCCAACCCGTGTTAGGAATCACACGTTGAATGATACGACCTCATTAGTCCTTAGCTCGCACAAGTTTCTACTTCTAAGAGTTGTCGTTCGTAGGAGGGCGGCAGTTAATTGAAGAAAAAACAGATTTTAACATATTCAACAGAAGATAATATGTGAATCACTTAAATGGAGTAAGTTGCTATGATTTGAGAAATTCAGTTTCAAATAGAGATAACCTTTTACCGTAACCAGGGTTATTGATTGAAAAAACACGATCTGCTTTATTTGGTATTTTTGAAGGTTCATGTCTTTCTAAAAAAGTCGCTGGAAGGCACATTTGGAAAATACGGTAGCCTAACTGAGAACGACAACGCCATCTATGGCATCGAAAGAGAACTAAGTTCTCGACTATCAAAGATAAACGATGCTGACGAGATTCGTCTTCTGTCTTTTGCTGCGGCTTTCACCACCAGGCAACTTACTGAAAACCAAAGCCCAAACACATCGCATTTATAATTCAACGCCACAGTGGTGTTAAGTTGAACCACAAATGCATTTTTGAACTCAATTGTCCTTAAAAGTCAAGCCTGCGTAAGTAAGGGCGATGATTATCCCCTAACGCCATCTATGGGATTGACAGAGAACTCAATCTTCGTATATGGTTTTCCCAATGTGTTTTGTCCATTTCAGACCACTTTTCTACATGCCAAAGAATGCGCTACAGAAGTAAAGGGGTTCAAAGGCTAGTAAAATAAGCTACAACTCATTTATTTTTTGTATTTACTATATAAAAGGCAATTTTATGGCTTGGCAGTGTTTTAGAAAAGTTATAAAAAGAGTGAATGTCTTTTAGTTTGGTCGATGGTTGGATTTCATTTTGTGGAAAATGTTATAGAGATAGTATACAATGTTTGCTGCAAGAATAAAATTAGAAACAACATTGTTCACAGACAAATTCATAGGATCAGATATGATTTTTTGGTAACTGTGTAAAAGCTATTTTCCGGGTTTTTTGGCCGTAGTCTGCAGGTTTTTGCCTGACGTTTCGTCTACTACTGCGCCAGACATCAAAGGTGATGTAGTAACAGCCGTAGTGCCCGAGTTGTTCCCGTTCTGAACCCGGTAACTACGATGGTGGTATTTGATTCCGGTGGGCGTGGCTCAGTTTCTTTTAGTTGGATTACCTCACCTTGTTTGTGTACCTTCAAGGACAGGTAGCTAGATTTTATGAATGTTAATTTTATATTGAAACTATACCTGTTTTTGAATATCTATTTTCTGTCTGTATACTTATGGATAGTAATAGTATGAATAGTAATAGTAAAATTCTTATCCAATAAGAATTCAAAAACTCAAGGATAATTTTAATAGACAAAAATGAACATTAATTAAATCTGGCTACCTGTTCTTATTGGTACACAAACAAGGTCAGGTAATCCAATTAAGAGAAACCAAGTCCACTAATAATAATAATGTAAAACTAGAGTCGAATACCGGCTTCGTAGTTTCTGCGTTGGGAAAAACAGGAACAAACAACAACTGTAGCACTAACTAACTCGCGCATCACGACCGTTACCTCATTGCCTTTGATAATGTCTACCGCAGTAGTAGACGAAACATCAGGCATAAAACCTGCAGACCATGGCTAAAAAACCCGTAAATATCTTTCTCCGGCTATGAAAATTTACATTCTTTTATTTTTGGATAGTTCATCACACATGCCACAAAGAGAAAGATACAAATTTTATACCAAAACAAATTGGACAGAAATGTTTGGTTGCTTTTAATAATATACAGATTGATTATAAAAAAATTTGAAGTAAGTATCGAGGCGAATATGACATTTTTCCATAGTCTTTCGTTAATGTTTATTTTTGAGCAATTGAAAGATGTGATCACAAATTTCACGATCTTTGCTTAAAACTTCTGCAGGTATTATAGTGATGATACCAGAAAAATTGTTATAAACATCCATATAAAACTATAAATAACAACTTGAGTTCTGGTAGTAACAAGTTGACAATAATTCTCACTATTATTATTATTTCTATTACTTCTTGTTGAAACTGACATATTTTGTTGAGTTGTAGAAACTATAACTAATGGCAACATAAAATTATCTAAATGAGTATACTTTTCCTTTCGGCTCATGCAAATGTTTTCGAATGTTTACAACATACCTATTGAACTCAACTAAAACTTTTAGAAACATTCGAAAGCCCTTGCACACTTCTCCGAACTCTAAACATAAATAACACTAAATCACAGACGAACAAATCCACACCCCGCTTGAGTTTCTGTTACCTAAACAAGTCCTTGTATTTCAAAAAAATATCCTGTAACCTAGAAACAGACCCCAGAGTGCTAGCCTTAGTCCCCAAACACATACTTTTTTGGCTCAAATCCAACCGACTATCGCACTTCACCGAATGAAACACGTGAATTAATCCCGGGTCCGCTACCCTGAAGATTTTGAGGTTAGATCTAACGGCGTTATCGAAAAACGTCACGTCCTCATACCCCCACCCTGAGATCATCAAGTTGAAGCCCCCCAGCGACAAGTAATCGCTCTTGTAGAGACTCACTATACCGAAACCAAACTGCCTCCAGAAGCCGGACTGTTCGTTGATGATATCCGGGGTAAACTCCGAGTAATCGGCCCCTAGGTAGGACCTGTTCAACAATCCGGGGTTGTACAGGCTGTAAACTATCGGAAAGTACACCTGCTTGTTCAACACCGTGTTCCTGCGTATCCTCTGCAGGCTCTGCTTGTCAAAAACCATGTCGACGTCGATGAACAGCATTAGGCTCTCCTCGCTGAGTTCGTTGACCCCTAGCTGCAAGGCTTTGCCTCTGGAGAAAGTCTCATTGGAGAGCACGACCCTGATAGGGCTATCGGGGTACCTTGTCGTCAGACCCCTCACTAGTTCGGAGCTCAAGCGATGATCCTCGGGAGAGTCTTCGTTCTTGAACAGAACGATGAACAGCCTCGTGTTTTCTCGGTCCGTCAAGCAGACTTGTTCGTACATGTTCATGAACCTCTTGAAGATGTTGAATCGGCCACTCAGGGGGAGGATGAAGTTGATCAAGGTCTCGGTGGAGCTGTTGTGGTAACTGAAGATCGGCTGGAGTTGCTCGGTGATTTTCGAGAAGAGTTGGTTTACTATTTGCTTGTGGACTGGTAAAGATTCCGTGCTGACTAGACTTTGGGTGGTGTTTGGGCGGTAGTCCACTTCTCGGATGAAGATTCCTGTAAAAAATACAGATGTAATCCTTTACTATTCATTGAAGTCAGAATATAACAAAAGTCCGAGTTTAAGGTCAGGATTTATCGAAATTCAGAGTTAGAATTGGAATTTATTGAAATTCTAACTTTAAGGTAGTAATTTAACAAAATTCCAGTCCGAGTTTGAAGTCGGAATTCATTAAAATTCACAGTGTAAAGTTGAAATTTATCAAAATTCTAATTTTAAAGTCGGAATATAACAAAAGTCTGAGTTTAAGATCAGGATTTATCGAAATTCAGAGAAGTCAAAATTTAACAAAACTATTATTATCGAGTTCAAGTTCAATCCCGAAATATTGTTAGATTCTTACTTTCAACTCGATGTTTCATATACTTCCGATAAACTCGAAATTTAATGAAATTCTGAACACAAATCCGGAACTTCATTGTTTAGTGAATTTATGATACTATATCGTATGACATCGTATTTTGGATGAAGTTATAAACAAGTGAACATGAAATAATCACAAAAAACTTGTTAAAAAAAGAAGATAAGTTGGGATGGAAGCTATCATAGTAGCTTCATCTTTTTTCAGTATTAAACAATTACAGGTTATTTGCGAAGTATTAGAAAAACTACAGGTCTTCAAGGATAAGCTGAGGAAACAGTTAATTACTACCCTACTCCGACACTAGTTCTAGTATTTTCTGGGAATCATTACCTGAGAATGTTTGTTGCACATACGCATGCCTTCTCACTTGCACAGTCATCTTGTGCCCTCTGTACTTCCGATATACTAACAGAAGATCCAGAATAAGGTCCACCCCGTACACGGGATTCACCCTCCAATATCCATACAGGATATCTTTGAAGTCTATTACTCTCCCTCTTTGCTTCGAATATGAATTGACGAGTTCCATGATCTGAAAATAATTGAGAATTGAAATCAAGTTGATATATATTTTGTTTGCCAAACAAAAATTAAAAAGAAGGTTTCGTTATTTTTTCTTTTTTGTATACTCACCTCCCTCACGACATCACCTAACCCTTCCTTCAAGGAAGACCCGATTCTTCTCCTAGGATTGAGGTCTCTATGCGAGTACAAGTTTTTCGAAATCATTTCCCACTCCAAAACGTCTTCTAACCTATGCGGAGTGTATCTGTTCAAACTTGTCGGCACACCTAAAACAACCGGGATAAACGTCAAACGTTATTGGCCCCAGAACGTTACCTTGCGGTACTCTTTTAGCAAATATGTTTGTTCAAGTGACTGTGATTTTTTTGAAATTGGAACCTACCCAGTGTGTTCGTGTCGCCAAGATAACCTGGAGATCCTCGACGTATAGGAAAGAGTGGAAGATCCGGAACGATTTGCGCTTTATCTAAGCTGCTGATTCGATGGCCTAGTTCCTTCATCGAGATTGCTATGTCGCGATGGAGCAGAAGGTTTTCCTGCAGATGTTTTTGTACCTTCAATCCCTGAAAATGAAATGGTTGTATTGCGGGAAGGAAGTTCAATTAGCACAGCAATACGTAAAACACGGTGCAGTTCCTTCTCGAAATAAAATTGTAACAGTAATGTCGAAAAAAGTAATATCGTCGGTTTTGGTCACAGAACTAAAATCTAGAGTTTTAGTTCTGTGGTTTTGTTAGCTTGACTCTCAGTTATGATATGTCAACTGTCAGTTTTGATGCGTCACTTGTCACGGTGCGTAAACTGTCAGTAGAAAGTCTTGCAAAATGTAATCAAATGGGTAAAAATGTAACTTGGTAAATTTAAGCATCAAGAAGTAACATTTTGTCACTAAAATAACGCCAAGAACAACACTGACAAAGAAATTATTTCCAGTAAGGACTGAAATGAAATTAAACGAAATGAAGTATTGTTCTCTGTTTTTTTCTATCTTTGTATGACACTTTTGTCAAACCTCCGTTCTTGGTTAAGTGATAGAATAGCTTTGCTAAACTCCGCCAAGTACTTCGGTACTTTTGTATGTTCATCGCATTATACTATATTATGTGTTGATTCTAAATGGATGTCCTTATTGTCGTTTAGCAGTAGCCGTGAGAATTATTTTCAAGGGCAGTTACCAATTTACATTTTTTTTTAAATATCAGCGAGACACTGAAAAATCACGTTCGGGGAGGGTGTTCCTCTACAAACCTCTGTAGGCACGCCAATGAGCTTCAAAGAATGCGCAGGCAGGTATTTAAAAATAATGAAAAATTGAGTACCAGCTGAATAGACTCGAGTAAATTTCTTGGCAAGAGTTTCTTTTTAAAAAAACGCATCAAACATTAGTATATACTTCACTACAGAAATTCACAAATCAATAATGCGTATTTATATACATGCCAACGTTCAAGGACCCCAGTTGCCTAATTAAAAATCCTGAAACAATTGGATTTCTATATTGATTGTCTACACAGTTAATATGCACATGAACAATTCATATCCGCCAATAAAAAATAATGAGACTTCTAAGAATAATGCAAGTGCATATTGGAAATGGACTTTCAGTAACGTAAATAACATGCCTGAAAATCAAAAAGTGATGAAGGTTATGAAATGTAGGCACTTTTTTCTGATTTAAAAGCTAGAAAATTGTGTTGGAAATCTGACAATACTAAAAAATATTACACTACACTTGAGTCATGGTCGGATTTATCA